AACAGTTTTTTCTCTTACCTTTTCATTAGTTGATATCATTTGTTCTGATAATATTGTTGGTAACCAATGAAACGATGATGAATTCAAGCATGTGCCAGAAAATGTCATCATACTGTTGTTAGAATGTTGTTTATTTAAAGAATCAATATTAAATCCATTGGATTTTTCTGAGCATGAAAAAGTTTGAGGTGGCATTTGTATAATTAAATTATCTGGATTCGATAATAGAAATGATGACGACGATTCATCATTGGTTGATTTCATTGATTGATGTGAAGAAATTGTTGAAAATGTTAGGGGATCTGATGATTGTTTCAAAGGAGATGAGGATGACGAAGAGGATGAGGAGCATGAGGAAGAGTGAGAAGATGATTGACATGATGACAATGAATTCGAGGATATGGTGATATTGGTTTCTGGATTCAATAGTTTTGGTTGTGTAAGATTCAGTGGGCTTTCATGATCTTGCTGCAATTATATAATAAAGCGTAAGTTTATTCAGTTAGATTACAATATGAAACCAACTAAACCTATATACATTTGAAATCATCAATCAATTATTGTTAGATCACCATTAGAAACCTGGAAGTACTGCACGACGGCCGTTTCGTCCTGGTATGGGACTCATCAGTGGCAGTGAGCATCCACAAAAGAGGCAGATCGGACGTGGGGTTAGTGACACCCATCCTGTCGAAAAGTAACTCACTGAAAAAAAAACGTTAACCAGAAACTGGTCGGCGACCAATAATGCTCCACTCTAGGTAAAAAGCGTCAGTAAGTAAGTAAGTAAGTAAGTAGGTAAGTAGGTAAGTAAGCAACAATGAATCCAATTGTATAGCTGTTTGTAATAATTTCAAACTAAGTGTCTACATAGTAAGTTCAACTTAAAAGTAAAGATTTGAATTGTTAGACCAAAGATAATTATTTATCTGATTTTCAAACTCGTTTTCGATTGGAAAAATGGAAATACTCTGTCAGCTGTGAATGCTATGAATAGTACTCATTAAACAAGTTGCTTATGAATGCAGTAATTCCCGAAATACTCTCTAATGATAACATATACATAACCATATCAGGGAAAACACGTTCATTGCCTTCTCGTAGTATAGGTGTTGTTTTAACGAAATGGAGAGGATGAAAAGTAAGTTTTCAGTAAAGCTTAAACCATGTTTATGAGTATGGACAATCGTCCATCTATAGAGGAGTTGGAAAACACAAATCCCAAACTAATGGTGCGTTTGGACTCCAAGATCCTGACGGAACATATAGTGTATAAACTTATAGCTGATTACCGGCAAACATGTAATTACATTTGCTAATATTGTTTCACTGCTCTTTGGATCGGACTGGTTAAAACTACCTGGCTTCGGTACAGAGACACTCGTTCAGTATCGCATCCCAGTCACAAATTCAATAATTTGATTGTTGTATTGTAGTGCCTACGCATATATTCCAGTCCACTTACATCTAACTTGGTTAAGCCCTTTCGATTAATTTATTTAACCAAGCCATTTGTAAAACAATAACTTATGTGTACTATTCGTTTTTATTCATGTGTGTGCACGCCTATTTCGCTTGTCATATGTCTGTCTTATTCTTATCTGACTATATATTCTTAGTCATACTCTATCTCTTTGAGTTGGCTCACTAGCCTTCTCCTATTCGCTTCATTCATTCGCTCGCATTGTAATCCAAAGAGTTGGCTCACTAGCCTTCTCCTATTCGCTTCATTCATTCGCTCGCATTGTAATCCAAAGAGTTGGCTCTTAGCCTTCTCCAATTCGCTTCTCTGCTATCCTTATTGTGGTGTGCTACAATAAACGTATACGATACTTGGAGTTCATCTTCTGATTGATAAACCGAGCTTAAGAACACGCAGTAAATCGGCACACTACAGTATAAATAATATTTAGATACCCCTCTGTATCGATGTTTATTTGTCTAAAAGAGGATATCGAGACTATAAGAGTGAATTTATTTTACACACAGAATGAAATAGCTTTCCAATTCATAGTGACTTCACTATATTATCAAGTAGAAGATCAGAAGGATAGGATAATTCCTAGAACTAACTTATAAATGATTTATTATTCCTAATCTTTTGATAGTTCATCATTCACAGTCTCCCACATTCACAGCCACTTTTGATTTACTCATGTATAAATGTATTTTCTCATTCTACAGTGTGTAATGTAATCTGATTACGTTTTGTAATATTGTGGTGTGAACTACTTATAAGTAGTATATGACGTGAGTGTCAACGTAATGTCTGGCAGCAGAAGATGGGGGAAGATCAAGAAAGGAAGAGTTAGAAAACAATGGAATTTGTATGAAACGCATGAATAGTGAGTGACAATGGATTGATGTTTTGCAACAGGAACAGTCCAGTTCGATATGATGGATTGATATTTTGCAAATTAACGATTTACGATATGGTTTTCCGATTTTACTGAGTAACTCTGTAATTTTCGTTAAATACAATTCGGTTGCCTTCACCTGTGTTCTCCTTCACTACAATATAAACTATATCTGCTTGAAATATAACGAGTTTTGTGGGGACTACTTTAAGAATTTCCGAACTAAGCGGTAGTCTAGAAAAAAAAACAAGAAGCTATCGGGCTATTTGAACCAATAAGAATTGAGAGCTGTTGTCTCAAGGTCACTAGTGCTAAACGCTGCATTCTGATTCGATGTTCTCTCCTCAACATTATCACATGATCTTGAGTAAATTGACCAATAACAAACAAATAACTCTTGAATATAAGTAGTTTAAAAAAATAACTTTAAAAAAATAAAACAAAGTAACACTTACTGACGACAATGAATTATCATGCATACTTGAATTCAACATTAAATATTCATAAAATTTCATAATATATTGTGCTATATTCATAAAAATATTTAACTTTTCTTCAATTGATAAATTTATTGATTGATAAATCGTTTTTAATAAATAGAAAATTTTTGTAATCATCAATGATGATGAAGAAGAGGAGGAGCAGGCGGAAGAGGTGGTATCATCATTTGATGATGATGAGGCGGAGATTGTTAGTGTATTTGTTGTTATTGGTGTTGTTGTCGGTGTTGTCGACGAGGATGATGATGAAGATGGTGATGATAATGTCATTGTCATTGGTGAGGATGTCACTACTGATGATGATGATGTCACTACTGATGACGATGAAGATGATGTCGAAATGAAAGTGGACAAAATATTTTTTGGTGTTGTTGTTGGTAAATAATAATGAGTTGTTTTATTATTATTACTGTTATTATTCATCAATCCATTATAATGAATCAAGTCAAAATCTTTATAAATAATATTATCTGATGAAGAATTTGATAAATTCGACGATGCATTGAATGCTAACATTGGATTAGGATAAATAGGACAAGGTGATAGTAAATCAATGTAAGATGATGAATCAGCTTTCATGTTGACTAGTTTTGTTTTTTTTTTCAAAAAAAAAATCAATAATTTGATTGATCAATGTTCAATGTTCAAAATGGATAAAGTTGATATTTTAAATCAATGTAAGATGATGGATGAATCAATCAGCTTTCATGTTGACTAGTTTTGTTTTTTTTTTTGAAAAAAAATTCAATGATTCGATTGATCAATGTTCAATGTTCAAAATGATCTGAATATTTAAACAAAACGAAAAAAAGAAATAAATTGACAACAATGATAATTTGCATAAAATAAATTTTTTTTAATTAATCAAAATTAAAAAGGCAAATAACATATGAAGAAAAATTTTTTTTCAGAAAACTACTTAATTAAAATTATAGTAGTATAAATACCAGAATTATATGACATGATAATCAGTTTTCATGATGACACTGTATTGTTGTTAAGTGCCAATTATCCTTAATGAATAACACCAAATTTATATCAAATCAAATACTTCACTAGACTATTTATTTTATTCGGTAAATTTCTTTGAATTCGATACTACTATTGACATCTTGCAGTTTAAGTAGTAACTTTATGATTGAAATCATGAATGAATTATTTCTAGACCACCATTAGAAACTTGTAAATAATAATGGACAATCGTTTCGTCCTAGTATGAAGGTCATCAACATTCGCATCCAGGACTCTCTCTCTCTCTCTACTCACGGGAATCGAACCCATGACCTTCAGTCTCGCGTGTGAACAGTTTTTCTTTAGACCACTGAGTCAGCATTCAACGATGTTAGTGTCTAACTTCAATCAATCTAAGATATTGCACAACCTTATCCATTGTATTCCATGAGAATTACTTCACACCTGACAGCGTTGAACTCCACTAGTCACATCATCATACTAGAACTCCGGTAATTTCCTTACAAAGCCAGTCACTAATGGACATATTTTATTAGTTTTCATGATAGAGTTATGGAGATTGTTGTTTCACATTGAAATCGGTTTCTTGCTCAAACTCACCGATCACGGATTCTCACTACCGAAGAATCCCATACTAGGATGAAATAGCCATCTAATGTTTACAGATTTCTAACGATAGTTTAACAATGATTGATTCATGACTGCAATCATGAACAGTCAGTCAGTCAGTCAGTCACTCAGTTACAACGTAGAACTTCATACGTAGGTACATCAGTTCAGGTTACCATACCGCATTGGCACAGAGACGCAACTGTCAGTTCAAACCCCATAGTGGTTGAGATAGTAGAAGTATTAGCAGTAATGGAGAAGATTAAGTTTCGAAGATATTATTCGATAAGTCTAATTCAATGAGGTAAGTTTAGGAAGAGAAAGATAGAGGTGATGAGAAATTCAGAAGATTAAAATTTCATAGTGCGGTGCGAGCTACTTATAAGTATTATATGACGTGAGTGTAAACGTAATGTCTGGCAGCAGAAGATAGGGGGTAAGATCAAGAAAGGAAGAGTTAGAAGAACACAATGGAATTTGTATGAAACGCATGAATAGTGAGTGACAATGGATTGATGTTTTGCAACAGGAACAGTCCAGTTCGATATGATGAACTGATATTTTGCAAATTAACAATTTACGATATGGTTTTCCAATTTTACTGAGTAACTCTGTAATTTTCGTTAAATACAATCCGGTTGGCCCACCTGTGTTCTCGTTCACTACAATAGTACACAAAGAATGGATGCACTTGCGCC